ATAAACGATACGTATATGTTGACAATGGCTTCTTATTTATAACATGTTTTGTCGTTTCCTCACAAGCGTTATAACAGGTTTACGAGTTTAATTACTTAAATATAATTTAATTATGATAGCAGTCATACATTGATAATACGCTTGCATTCATCACGAATAAACTTGATTATTTTGTCTAAGCTTCTGTGCGCTTAGCTGGTATGTATTTTTCGACCGCTCAAAAATCGCAATAGTTGATGCATTAGTCTAAAATTTGGTACAAGCTTTGTTTTGACTGAAACAAATCTGCTCTAATAGAAGCAATGTCTAATATATTCTTATCTCCCATATATATATATATATTCCGTGTTCGATATTGTCATAGTACCCTTAAAATATATGTCATCAAATTTGTTTAAAATTCTACTCATCATCAACCGATTTACCGATCAATAAATATAATTTTTAATAGTAATGGGTATTGGTATAAAATGCACCCTAAAAGGTGAGCTTTACATCTAAAGTCCTTGGAAAATTAAATGGTGTCACAAAAAGACTTTTGTCTTTCTAATTAAAAATTAATGCTAATTATTAACAAAACTCACGCTTCCTCATAAATGACTTGTACATTCTAAGGCACTTAAATGCATATGCAAAACGTTCTAGCTTTTTTTTTTTTTTTTTTTTTTTTGCATATTTTATTAAGTATAATCGCAAAACAATATCACCTTAAGATCCCCTAAGGTAGTGAACGGTGTGTGTAAGCTTTGAATAAAATGTGGTATAAAAAAACAACTAAAAGCATTATAGTCTGTTATGACCAACCCTAATTAAGCACCCTACACTACTTCGCTTAATACAATTATTCATATAACGACTTTTTCAATTAAGGTATTGCATGGGAACAGATCGAAGGTGTTGTCCGATGCGAGCCCACAAAACAGTACGGTATACAAAAATTCATAAAAGTATCTCAAAAATTGCAATGTATAGATCGAATACAAGAAGATAAGGCGGTCAGGCGGTCAGGCGGTCAGGCTGACAGACAGTCAGGCGAAAGAAGACAGATAGGAAAGCTTTTTCGATAAAGAAATACATTCAAAATAACCTTTTCAATCAATCGATATACGAAAAATGGATTCGTCTATCACAAGTTCTACAGGATATAGTGCTCAACATACTTGCGGCATACTACAATTACTATAGACTATAAATAGACAATTACTAGCAAGGTTAACGAGTAAAACTGAACTCTACTGTTTCTGTTAGCATAATTCAAATTTCACGCATATGATATTTTAACATTTTCGATAGCTTCTACAAAACGATATTCTCGTAAATCATATCTATCCGTAATTAATTCTTTTGAATATACCTTTAATGTGCGTTAAAATAAATAGAAAATAAATTGAAAATGAGTCGGAAGTAAAATTTTATCGTTAATTGCGAATGCATTGGTAAATCGATCGTCACTATTTTTGCACTAAACATTATGGTCGCAGCTTTGTATCAATCAAGAAATGTTTGCGCCAAATTTCAGTTTACTTTTTCTTTATCTTTATTTTTTGGCGATTGTGACGATTCACAAATGGAAGCGTTTTAATTGAAATAGATATTCGAAATTTAAAAATAACAAAATGGGCGTTTTCCAGAAAAAATAATAAACATATTTGCTGCGTTATATCCCTAAAAACGATTATATATAACATTTAAAGATATCTACCTAATTATGCAGAACTTTGAATATGCGATTTTAACGATCCTTTTTTCCAAAAGTACATATGCAAATACACAAAGCGCTAAGAGCACCTCGAAGCTTTCCTACACACCCGAATTTATCAAGAGAAATATATCATTTAGAATTTAAAAATTGCCTTTTCTTATTTCTACGCATATAAAAAACTCTCTCTCTCTTACATTCGATTGCAATATTTGTTAAAATAATTACGAAATCCGCGAAATATATTACCCAGTTAAAAGAATATTACGCCGACATATGCAAAAATATTATTAGTTAACAATGAATGATATAATGAAGACAATATTTTGCGAAAAGTATGCTTGCGACACTATTATTTATGAATTGAACAAATGAATTAACGAATTGACTTTGATTAAATTAGTAGGACTAGACATTAGATTTCAAATCCATTTCTGACAAAATTTCAAATCCAATACAAAATGAGTTTCTATCCCATACACATAGAAATCATACTAAATTTAATAAAGATTATAGTGAATTATAGCTGAGATAACTAGATGACAAGATAATCTAACATTTATATCAAAATTCAGACAAGGAAATTATTACCAAATAAGAAAAACAAACCATATTTTCGACCAATATCCATTGTCTACTTGTTTTCGTACATACACATTTATATGTGTACCATATACGCGTATTCATATGAAAACGTAGAATAACATATATGTTTGCGTTAACGCCAGATTAAGAATCTATTAACAGAACACATACGCATAATGAGAATGAAGGAGCAAGCGGTCAACTGATTGCTAATTAACAGTGTGAACTACCGTTACTGATGGCAGAAAAACAACAAGTCCGTAATAATCTCCTAGTTTAAATTTTCATTTATGTTAGACCATCTTGCCATCTAGTTGTCTCTGATCATAAGTTATCAATTTGCTGCTTGCTAGAAGAAGAACAAGAAAAGTGAATAGGAATAGTCAAGAGTTTTCGCTTCTTACTTTTTTTAATGATTGAAGAAAAAACTATTAATAACTTAAAGAAGAAACGGTATTAACGAATCCTTTCATTATTTCAATAGTACAATTTCTTCAAAAGAAAAATTTTTTAAATTTATAGAGGAACGACAAAAATTTAGCAAAAAAATACCTTTATAGGGTTAAGAAAAATGCATACATACTGAAATTGAAACAATATTAAATTGAGGAAATTTTAATACAAAATGTTGAATATAACAAAAAAAAATTATATTTTGCATCTGATTAACAAACGATAACCAACTATTTAGCGCATATAGGCGTCACGGCATTTTTGCAATAAAGCATACGATCAGGAAAACCCAAAATTTGAAAGCCAGCTACATATACGTACGCCTACGTTTTTGTGCATGTCTGCTGTACGCAATTCTATAATAAAATGTATTTCCAACAAATATTAATAAAAACTGAAAATAAGAGCTCGTCTGTTAATAATTTTTTTTCTAACTAGAAAAACTGAAACGTTAGCAGTATGTAACACTGCATATATTTTCGCGGAAATTTCACCTTTGCTGCGTGAATCTGTTTTGATAAGTGACACATGGGAGAGTAATTTAAATATGAAAACAAAACGAAATTATGGCTACAATATTCAGCACAATTGTTCGCTTTTTTAATACTTATATACACAAAACGCGATCATACAGCCATTTTTCCAAACGATTCAATTTTGCTGAATACTTCTACAGCAGTAATTGAGTTGTTTATGTATATTCCAACACTGCGTTCTTCCAAACTTATACTGCATTGTCCGTCTGCCTAAGCGGCGAAAACCCTGTTAATAATCATTCTCTTTAATTTTGTGTTTTCTTGTAGGTGAGAAAATTGTTAATATCTGTATGGCTGAATTACTGAGCTCAGTGCGCTTTCTTATCATTGCCATTCTTGTTGTGAACTAAAGATTCTACTAAAATTATATTTTAAATTTATTTGTATTACATTCATTTCATTAAAAAATGTATGTGAAAATTTTACATTTCGGTATTTTGCAAAACTTGACTAAGAACATCAAGCAAGCCCGTTTCGTTTCATCGTTTTTTAATTTTCTAGTTCAATTGTTCAAATATTTAATTAATAATAATTTTATATCTTGTAACACCCTTGACAACTTGTTTTATTTGACAGAATGTTAAAACAATATTATTATGATCAATATTTTATATAAGTGAAGGCATGCATAAAAATGGACCCATTAGGCAGTTTGAAGTTCTGAACAAAGCCACCCTTACTTTTTATGGGCGAAGATAATTTGCTTATATATTATGTAATTAACGTGGACGAGAATGATGTAGAAAAATATTTATAATAAGTTGTTTATTTGAAAGAAAGAAGTAAAGCTGTAAGACGCACCATCCCTCGAACTAAAGAATGAAGTATCGTCCTATTGTTCTAGCCAACAAATACGTGTCAAAAAACGCAAGATTGTGGATCAATTTATTTCTGTGCTTACTCTTCGTTTATTGCTGGAATGTTTACTTATCCAAAATTTTTGATAGTAAATTAAGACCTGACAGATAAAATATATAATTTATTTTTCAAGACAGTAGTCACATCTATTTCGAAACAAAAAGGATTGTAAATATTATTACCATTTTATTTATTATAATTAGCTATTGATGTGTGCACGCGTACCAAATCTAGGTTTTGATAGTACATAATGTTTACAACTCTGTCTTTCAATTCAAGAATTGCAAGTGCACCAATTTTCGCACTGAACTAATACAAATTACAACTGTGTGATCATGATGTAATTAAAAAAGAAAATATCATATATTTTAAAACCTTTCAATTTATTTAACAGTCATGTTTTTCATGTTATACTAATACTCAATATTTCCCAAATGCGCTAATAAAAAAACACATATTAATGAATTATAATAATTTGCATATAAAATAAGATATCCTCTGCTTCTTCTTTTGCTTTGAGATTTTCGTAAACTCTCAACCCTGCCTTAGCAGTAACAAATCACATAAAATAGTGAATAATAAATGTGTCAATGACAGCTACGATGAACCTTCTGCAATAGTGCACCGACTAATTCCAATTGTTTGAAAATTTATTTAATTTAAAGACAATCCAAACAATCCCCCAAACTATAAATTTGTAAGCGTTGTTATATTATTGCGACATTTATAAATTCAACTGATTTTTACTTTGCATTTACATCGCATTTTGTTATAGTTAAAGATGTTTCATTCTAAGTTGTTCCTTTCATGAAGTGATTTCATTCCCCAATGTGGCAATCAATCCCCAAGTTAAATAGTATCACTAGTTACTGACAATACTGCTTAGTATAAACACCTTGCTGAAAAAAAATTTAGTAGGTTTATCGTTTACAGGCCTTTTATATACCAAAAAAGAAGATTTAAAAAAGAAAAAATAAAACGAAAGAAAGACGGCAAAATGAGTCCGTCGCTAGTAAATTCAACGACACAATATAATTTCAAAGTGGTTCTATTAGGCGAAGGATGCGTGGGCAAAACATCAATTGTATTACGCTATGTAGAGGATAAATTCAATCCGCAACACATCAGTACTTTACAGGCTTCGTTTCTAACGAAGAAAGTAAATTTAGACAACGGTGCCAAAGTCCAGCTTAATATATGGGATACTGCTGGTCAGGAAAGATTCCATGCATTGGGTCCTATCTACTATAGAGGCTCACACGGTGCTATACTTGTTTATGATATAACCGATGAAGATTCATTTCAAAAAGTTAAAAATTGGGTAAAAGAATTGAAACGTATGCTGGGCTCCGATATAATTTTAACTATAGCAGGCAATAAAACAGATTTAGAAAATGAACGTACTGTGCCATTTGAGGATGCTTTAGATTACGCAGACAGTGTCGGGGCGTATTATTTTGAAACGTCGGCCAAAGCTAATGAAAACATTGAAAAATTATTTACGGAATTAACAGAATTTATGATCGAACATGTCCAACAGAACAATCAACAGAACCAAAGATCGGCACTTAATGGTCAATTTGGTCAACGACGCTTAATTGTTGAAGATTCTTTAGATGGCTCCGACGACGCTGGCGCTCCAGTAAATGGAACTACTCGTTCCTGTTGCGGTTGATTTTAACAATCAGTTGTATTAGTGAAAATAAAACGTAAATGTTTAGAGTATAATAAGTATTGTGATAATCTATGTAATGTAATCTGAAATTTGTTTCTTCATTTGCAAAATTGCATTTTTGCTTTATTCTTACAGAATATATTTTAAAACATTTTTCAAAATTTTAGCTTAATATACCTATGATTGTAAAACTGATAATATTCTATATTAATTATGTGATTATGCTTATCTTCATATATCATTTTGTATCGTTTACCTTTTCGTTTAATTGTTATCTTAAAAGATTTGCAATTCATTTGCGGATTTTTTTAAAGAAAATATCATCAAAATATATATAACGAGTATATAAAAACAATGGTAAAAATGAGATATAAATATATGTATGAGATATATATATATATATATATATGTACATGTATGAGTCATAAATTACGCAGCAAATATGCGGTAAATTTGTTTTCTACGATAATTATTAAGACGCAAAAAAAAGGATTTGCCTGAAGTGAACTTAGTAATCACTAAAATCTGAATCCATATCACATATCCTCTACACATGCAAAATCTAGATGTTTTTTTTTTTTAAAAAAAAGGTGCATTTTTTCAGATATAAATGTTTCCGTCCTCTTTCCTTTTAAGCTTGAGCAGGAAGGAAGGAAAGATTAAGCTTGCAGGCATTGAATTCAATTGGTTTGTTGTATAAGAATGTGTTGAATCTGTTAATATGTACATGAACCATTCATAGCAAATCCTCTTTTAAGTCTAAAATATGCTTAAATTAAATGAAGTTGAGAGCGCGTCAGCTACAGTAAAGATTCATTTGCGTCGTTAATGCCTCGTTTTAAAACCTTTGTTTTAGTGTAAGGACATCTGCACGAAAAGAGAGATAGAGAAGGTTAGTAATGCGGAAGCATCATGTAATTTATTCTAATAATCTTTGATATTGTTAATGTAGGGACTTCTTAAGGACGTCAAAAAATTGTCGGTAATACATTATCATTAAGAAAGCACAGACAAACAATTGCGTTCGATTCATTACAGCTATTTAAATCCTAGTTTTCCATTAAGACATTTAAGACATGTTATGATTTACCCTAAATACCCTAAATACATGAAAGAAGAATGTAAATATATCAAGTATTTTTACTGAGGTATTTGATTTTTTTAAATTTTGGAAATTTTATATTTACACCCCATGCTGCGTATAGTATGGGGTATATTAAGCTTGTAAGGACGTAGGTAACACTCATAAGCAACTTTTATTATACCGATCGATTCAGAAAATGATTCTGAATGATTCTTGTCTGTCCCTCTGAATTCTGTCAATGCATTGTTCCGTTCAACCTACAGGTCGCAATATATGAGATATTTTAATGAATTTCGGTGTAGCGGCTTTTACTCACATACCTTTTCGGAAAAAACTGTGATCTTTAGTATTTCTCGACAAAACACTCAGAGTTATAGAACTTCGGCATTCAAAATTGGCATCAAAAATTTGATTGCGCTGAAGTAATTCTTTCAACCTCTCCTTATATAATAATTTTTAAAATTTCATTGTGAAAATTGGTATATAATAGTAAATCGGCAAAGAGGTCAACCTTATCGAATTTGGATCGCTTATAAGGATTCGCAGGAAATGTAGACCCAAGTCAGGAACATTTTTTCACGTTAGTAATTAGAAATAAAAATTAAGTGGATCAAATTTGAACCACATAGGTATATTTACTCGACCCGCATATAAAATGTCCCGTGAAGAGTAGGCGCTTCAGCAAACGGGAAAAATGAACGGTAGGGAATTCGGATAGCATAGTCGCCAACAAATTTAGGGGCTATCATGAATGCAAGCGCTTATATGAAGAGAAAGTCTAATTTCTAGTTATGTTTTATAATGGAAACTGAAAGATAAAATTTTTGAGGAAGTAAAGTAACTTTGCTAAATTTCGATCATGCCATGCGATGTTTCGGGCATCGTCCAGCGCGCCCTTCCATGAAAATAATGTGTAATTTTTTGTGCAGAGCGCTTCACTGTATTAGGGCAAGTGGTGTAGGGCTTTTAATTGTCGAACTTGCCCGACTATAACGTTTTTACTTGTTTTTACTTAACAAGACTTAGGATCTCTATTACGGATCTACAAACTGTGTTCATAGTATCAAAGCTACCTTTAATTATTATCTTTTCATTTTTGCTATGCTATGAGTCCAAAAATGAGACTTTGCAGAATTTCATAGCATATGATCCTTGACTACGTTACGTTACTTATTTTTGCAGCGTATTATATAATGCCGTATTTAGATACATTTGGATCAGCAATGCTGCCTTTCAAGAGACGGATGTCTTATTCGAAAATATCGAATACCTTCACTTACGTGATATAGTTCCAGCATGTTTCTCTATATCGGCAGCAAAAATAGATAAATCGAGACTATAGAGAGATTTGTGTCTCTTTAACTTTAATATAATTCTTTTCTTTTTATAAATAATAGTTTCATGTATTATTGAGATAATTCCAACAATTACAAAAGAAAAGTTTACCCCTTCTCTTTTAGTATACGTTCGTACTGGTTTAAGGATCTCTAACTTAAGACGTTAGATCACTGTAAAATTTTGTAAAAAATCAACTTTTTTTTTTTTTTTTTTTGGTCACCTTAATTAGCTAAAACAATTGTGGGCGTGGCGAAAATTTTAAAAAAGATGGACTTTTCGAACATAACTGCCTAGCAGTATAGGGTCACTTGCTACTTTAAACTTTAAATTCGTTTGTCTCGAAACATAATTTTCAAAACTGCAAACAATGCAACTTACATCATTTTTCAATCTGGTTCTGATTCAAGTCTTTTACAATACATCTTTCAAATAACATTAATTTATCAAATAACTTGGAATTAATTTTTTCTTACAGTCTTGTATAGCTTGAGATCTCCTGGAGATATTTTCGAAATCCTATGACCTCTCGATGTTCGTCAGTTCGAAAACGGTTCTAAATGGTTGACTAATCCATCCGAAATCGATTATGCGCTAGAATAAATGGAAAATAAGTTGTAAGTAAGCCGGGATAACGACAATTGTTATGAACATGCAAGTGGCTCTGGTGAATATTTCGTCTATTAGCTTTTCAGATATCAGATATATCAAGGGGATCGATTGTTATAGAAGAAAATTAAACAAAAAATAAAAAAAAAATTATCAATTCTTCTTCTTTGAGGTTGTTTTAGTTTCTTCTGCATTGGGCGCGTAGATGACGATCATTTTCTAAACTCATATCTCTTACTCGGTCAAGGAATGTTTGAGTCGAATTCATTTATTACGTTCCTATCTTTATTTTTAACGACAAATTTGATAGGTTTTTTTGCTGAAAGCCATATACTTGAGGGGAAGCTTTAGATAAAAGGAAACAAAAGGTTTTTAAATCTATCTAAAAATATTGCTTTATTCGAATTTTTATTTGTATTATGTGTTTGTATATAAATATATTAATAAACATATATAAAATATATAAAATTTTCTTTCTCATTCATAATCATATATATATACGTATATATATATGTACTTGTTATATATATATATGTATATCTTGGGACGAACATATTGATGTGCAAACGAATCTGTAATCAAATCGTTTTCATATAAATTATAAATGATTTCTAAATGATTTCAGTTAAAAAGAGCTTCAATGGAAGAAGCGAAGAAACAAAGACAATTTACATACATATAAAATATATATTTAGGATTTAGCTAAGTTAAAAAAAAAAAAAAAAAAATGAAAAGAAAAATAAAAATAAAAGAGTATTAATACACATACACACATGCATACGATTGAAAGCTTCAAAGATGATAATGAACTAAAAGCTTTCCATTTAAACAGAATGATAGTAGAAAATACTAATTAAATTAATCGATTTAATTAAATTACATTAAATTTAATTAAATTAAATAAAATTAAAAAAAAAAATTCAAATTGTGATCATTGCAGTGCTAGTACATATGCATATGTATACAAGCATTATATATATAATTAATTCATAATGTTTTGCGAGTTGGGGTCATTTGATTGGATATATATATATATATACATACATTTATATATATGTATTTATATATATATGGGAAGCCTGAAGCCTGAAGTATTCGTAAAAAAATTCATTTGTTTGTTGGTTTTCTTCATCACAGAACTATGTTCACTCACATAGCATTATGGAATTCGTAATTTTTTGCTTTTTGGAAGGGATAGGGACTATAGTTGTAGGTATTATTTATTAGCAGATGGTTCCAAATCTTTGGAGAATTCATTCATAACCTCTTTGTAAATCATAGGATCAAGATTGCAGCCCAACATATAAATTAGCCACCAATCACCGATATCTAGTCTTTCCGATAAGATGCGGCAAGTCTCCAAGCTTATCATACGATTACGAGCATGTAATAAACGTGGCCGAAAATTGGGCAATAAAATAATAACAGCTCTGCAAATAAATGAATAAATAAATAAATACACACACACACACACATGTCTTTATCATAAATTGTTTTTCTTTTCCTTTCATAGAATGTACAACTTACCGGAAAATGATTAATCCCGCCAATAAGAATAATAATATCATATACCAAAACCATATAAAGACATAAGTTTTCTCATTGACAATATTTAACGGCAGTATACATAGGGAATCGTGTTTTTGCAGTGAACCGGATGAGCCATATTTATGAAAGATGCACTTAGTGACACGTGGAAACACGTAAACCATTGGATCGAAACGCTGCTCCTGTGGCACATCGGATAATTGCATAATACGGGTACCGTATGATAAGAATTCGCCATCGAAGAAACGATTCATTATATACATTTGCACGATAATGTTAACGAAGCATAACACCTCGCATAACCAGTACCGTAAAGCATACATTTTATGACGCTATATATTATTGGAAATGTTTTTGATTATTAAAAAAATAGGATTAAACTTGATGACTGCATTTACCTTAATATGTTTACTTAGGTAATCCAGTAGAGCTTCTTTCTTGGCATATTTCTCTTCTGTTGTACAAATTGTTATATTGAGACCCATAACGATCATACGCATCAGACCGCCTTCAAATTTATCCCAGAGAAATTTCGGCGTATAACAAGCTATAGCCTAAAAATAGGCAGCACTTAATTATGAGTTTAATTCAAAAGCAAAAAAAAGACAAAAAGAAAAGCACACACGCACACATTGATATTTATTTATACGGTTCATCAACAAAGATCATCATTCACTTGGTGTCACTATACAATATTATCATTGATTTCTTTAGCCCATCATATCGTCCAATAACATAAACGCAACGTATTCTGTGTGTGTGTGCGTGTGTATATGTGGATTAGAAAGCAAAAAATAATTTTTAAATTTATTGTTTATATGTATCACTCGAGGAATTAAATACATATTAAAGCTGGAATTACGTTTATTACATCGCTCAATAAGTTCGTAGAATGGCTATTGACCCAGCCATATGATTTTCTAAGTTAGATATAACGTTCCAATGAAATGTTTGAAAGTTTCATGACAGGCCAACCATTAGTTTATTAGCTACAGTTATTTAATGGGTGTGTGTTATGCTACATATATACGAAATTAAAATTTTTTCATTATTCAATAAAACTAAAACTGTTATCTTATGAACTTATCGGGTGATGTCTAATATAATTTTTATCGAAGGATAATACACTTCTACAAACACTTTTTTTGTAAGCATGGATTTAAATTGCGTTGGTCGAGCTTTCCTCTATGGTGCGCTAATGCCAATTACAATTATTAGGGTAAGTTGCAATGTACGCTCGTTCTTCGGTCACTGAGATTCGTTGAGCTGTCGATAAGCAATTATTATAAGCAAATAATGCAAGCAAGAAAGTTGTATTTAGCTGGGGCCGAATCTCGCATAACCACCTGAGATAAAATTTTGCCTTTCACCTTTCACTTCACTAAAAGGTCTCATTAAGAAAAATTAATCCATCACGTGGTGACGTCCATCGTAATTAGTTTAGAATCAACGCACTCATCTTGTAGCCTTCTATTCTAGAAGCCCTTCTATTTGATGACCGTACCACTAGTATTACTAAGAAAAAATTAATTCACCAAAACGCGTTGTCTGCCATATTAGTTTTCCAATTTATGAATTTTTGTATGAATAGCAGACCTTTACTTGAGGAATATACGAAATAGTTTCCAACATTATCTCTCGTTTACCTTATGAGTAAAAAGCAGGAAACGTCAAAGGAAAAGCATTGAAAATAAAAAAAAAATTTTGTCACTTGGGGCTTGGTGGATTTCTTCCCAGACGATCTCGGGCGACCAAAGCGTTCAGCATCGTGGGTATCAAGACGATTTTCTTTAAAAGAGTCGTCATAAATTGTTTCAAATTATCTCTCTAAAAAGTAATAGTTTAATCTATATACGGAACTTGTGTTTTTCCACTGTTTTGAAAATTACAAGAGCAGCGTAACTAAAATCATTGCAACCTGTAAATTAATTGTGAGAATATTGTGAAATTTTGACATGTTTCGTTTGACGGTGCTGATGCTATCTAAAAAATCATATGGGTCTCTCAACAGTGTAGAAATATATTTGCCAGACCGGAGACTTATTGAGTGATATGTTAGTTTAGAAAAAAAGCAAAAAAATTAACTTCACAGTCATAATGGCGAACGAACAAAGTATAGAAAAACGCCTGAAGACATGGATAGATACTATACTCTCAACAGTGTAGAAATATATTTGCCAGACCGGAGACTTATTGAGTGATATGTTAGTTTAGAAAAAAAGCAAAAAAATTAACTTCACAGTCATAATGACGAACGAACAAAGTATAGAAAAACGCCTGAAGACATGGATAGATACTATATATCTACCGCGTGCATTTTAAATACCAACTGAGAGAGTGTGCCCTGAATCACTTAGAAGGTTGAAAATGTTCTTGTTTTAAAAACATTTTTATGTACATGACAGCGAATGCGTTTGTCATTCTTTATATATAATATGTAAAATATATATATATATATATATATATGTATATAAAACACAATATAACATAATAAAAGGCAAAAGCACAAAACTCTAATTAAACTCAATTGAGATAGAATTGAAACTATTTCAGCGTACAATAAAGACCAATGTGGAGTTCGTTAAGCTAAGCTCAAAAAAAAAAAAAAAAAAAAAATTACGACAAAACGCTATACGCGTATGCATATAATTTAATTGCTCTTGTCTCGCCATGTTTATGTGCCTGTGGCTGTGTGTGCACGTGTGTGCGTGTGTATGTTCATAATTTCAATTTACAAAATTATCAGTAAAAAAAGAAATTTCTAACGTTGGGTAACAAAAAAGACTTAAAAAATAAGTAAAAAACACTAAAAGCTGATAGTATGAGACGACATATTTGGCATTGCGAGATCGTCTCTAAAAAGCATGTTTTACACTAAAAATCATACGATTTCAGAAATTTTTGGCTGCAACATCAAATTTGATTTGAATTTGATTTACTAATGAAATTTTTGGACTCTCATCTGATATTATTAAATAAATCTTTCGTGATCAAAGTTGAAAGTGTCTTGTTTTGATTTTTCGGAAGACTTCCTCCGCGTGCGCACCGCGTACCATCGCAATCATAATAATAATAATCATCATAATCGGCATTCTATGAAGCGTTCTTTCCTTCAATCAGATTTGAAAAGTTGACAATGCTTGTAGGTTTACGGAGACGATATTCAATATGAGATCAGATCCAATTTTGGCAATTAAATTCTCCCAATTATTATTACTTTTTTTGCACGATTTTTTTTGAAAATATTTACAATTTTTTTCATTTTACACGATTTTTTCAAGTTGCGGAAAATATCCCCAAAATTACCATAGGTCGTAGGGTATTCTTTAATATGATTTTTTTTTTGCATGGTTTTCTAAGAAAAGTATGTATCGTGTAAAAAAATGTTGAGTGTATGTTAAGAATTCCCCATTTAAAGGACATTTAAAAGGTGATTGTAGTTAATAACGAAGAAGAAGTTTGAAGCAACCAAAGCGACTCGAATAAAATAAGGTACACAGTTCAATGAAAGAAGTGAATATAGTGGTTAACGCGAATATGATCATTGTCGCACTACCCATTATGTTGTAAAATTTATCTTTCGCGTATTATCGTTAAAAAGTGGATCGACTATAAAGTAATATCAAGTATTGGGGAAACAGTCGCAGCATATAATGAGAGCAAATACTTTCAGTAAACTAATGCAGCAACGAATTCACCAAACAGGCCACCTCTTACCACAGCGTGCCCAATATAAGGACTGAATCTTACTTTCCATTTAAATGAAAATTTTCTGAAAAAGATTTTTTTTTATTTTTTTTTATTTATAGTCACTTTTATGCTTTGTTACTTTCTGACACGGTTTAATGAATGTTTGACATTATTCTGGACGCACATGTTTGCAAATAAGCATACAATACACATACACGTACACACATCCATTTAAGGTTTGCGTTTATGCGAATCAGATGATATGCGGTTCTGACCATAATTGTAGTTTACAGACTCATAATTAAACTTGTTACCATGAATTTATTTATGTTTGTTTAAAAGTTGCAATTTTGTTGTCTTCTTTTCTTTTGCTAAGGCAATAAAAACGAATGTGTAGTTCGCATAAATGCATATAAATGAAAATTTACCTGGAAGAAGAGTACAAAGCAAACCCATTGATAGTAGGTATAATATTTTTTGGCATCTTCTTCGTCGAAATCATTAGCTACACCAGGATGTGCTACTTCACGACCAACCTAAAAGAGTAAGAAAACCAAAAGGAAAAAAATAAATAAATAAATAAATAAATAAAATAAGCAGCAGTTTGCTAAGCTTGCTCTAAAAATTTTTTATCCTTTTAAAAAAGAAGTAAAAATTAAAAATAACAAGTAAGAATATCATACTTGGATAAAGGCGAACATTAGTTACCCTACACCGCAGTTCATCGCATACAGCTATTCAGTCATTTCGGTGATAAGACGCCAAAAATTACACATCAATTTCATGCAAAGACTTAGTTCCCATGAGAGCCCCCATATTGGAGAATGAACAAGACATTACATGACATGATTCAAATTTAGCAAACTTAACTTACTTCCCAAGAAATGTTAATATTTTTCATTTTTCGTCATAAAAAAAATTAAAAATTACACTTTATTTCCATTTAATAGCTTGCCTTCCATGATAACAACTTTATACGTTAGAGTCTAAAAAATAGACCGATGCGATCCAAATTCGTTACTGCTAATTTTTTTTATTAAATTACTGCTATGGTCCAAATTTAATCGTAAACGCATAAAAATTAAAAACATTTTGCTGAAGGGCTTACTATTCATGAAAAATTTTATGTGAAAGTGAGGCCTCATGTGGGTCAAACTTGGTCCGCCTATTTTTTATGTCAAATTACTTTCAGGAAGAAGTTTTCATCACAAAACATTAACAATCAGGTATATAAGGGTTTGCATTTCCCCAGAATCCTTATGTGCAGTGGTATCCAAAAAATAGTAATCTACTTAATCTAAATTCGGTAAGGTTGGCTTTTTGGTAATATACCTTTGTGAACCAATTTTCACCATGAAATTTGGAAAATTACATCTTCTTATCGTATAAGCATTCAATTTTCGCAGAGGCAATTATACGGGAAGGCATTCAAAATATTACCGTGGCGGAACCTAATGTTTGATACAAATTTAGAATGTCGAAGCACTATATTGCTCAGCGTGTTTTGGCGAAAAATATTGAAAATTGCTATTTTTTTTTTTTTTGTCCATATAACGACTTTCAAAAGTAGGGCGTTA